GGCACTGGCAAAAGAGCCAGCCATGAAACATCTTCAGATTCTAACTGTTGACTTCACACACTCATGCAGAACATACATAGCTTAATAAATGTCTGCAACACACACACTGTTAGACACACACACATACAGACAGACATAAACACACAGTCACACACACAGACATACAGGAATTTCAGTGATTATGAAATTATACCATGTACTAGCTAGTTTTGACTCTCAGTTTGATACAGCTTAGGATCACCAGAGTATCTCGGTTGAACGGTTGCCCAGATCATATTGGCCTATGGACACATTTGTGCGTGTTTCTCTTGACTGTTAACTGGCGTAGGAGGGCATAGCCCACTGTGGGCAGAACCATTCCCTGGACAGGTGGTCCTGAACTGTGTAAGAATGGTAAGTGAGCATGAGCCTGAGACAGAGCTAACCAGCAGCATCCTCCACAGCGCCTGCTGTACTTCTTGGGCTTTGAGTGAGTTCTTTGGTCAGAGGCAATCCTGCACGGAATAGCAAGCATGTCTGCCTTCCGGTTCCTGGCCTGGTTTCCCCTCAACAGTGGGCTGTGACTTAGAAGTTTAAAATGAAATAACCCTTTCCTAACCTGTTGCTTTTGGTCAGTGTTTTATCACGGAAACAGGATGAAACTGGAACATGCTACTAGTGTAGCTTCTCTCCCTCCCTCCCTCCCTCCCTCATTCCCTTTCCTTATCCCTTCCTCCCTGCCTTCCCCTCTCCCTCCCCCCTCCCTCCTTTTCCTTGTGATATGGTTTGCTGTATAGTGTGAACTGGCCTTGAATTTTCAGTCATTCTGCCTCATCCTCCAAAGTGGCGGGACTGCAGGTATGTCCCCCTGCACTTTATCTTTCCTATATTTCATTCATGAGCTAAAACTTGCATTTACAAAACCAATGTTGCCTGCACTGCTTCAGTGTCACACACTTTTAACCCAAACAAACTGCGAGTGGCCACACAGGAGGCTGCAATCAGCAAAGCCTCTCCACTTTTCTTTTGAACCATCCTCTGCCATGGTTTATGAGTGTGCTTAAATGCAGGAATATGCTGGAAATGAGGGCAAGAGTCTTCCCCCCTCCTTTTAACTAGCATATATGAGTTATGCATAATAATGGGTTTCATTGTGATATGTCATTCACGATGATAATGTATTTTGATCATGTGCACCTCATTATCCTGTTGTCCCCCTCACTCCTCTTCCCATCTAGTCTCAGGCCTTCTCCTCCTTTCTGAGCCACCGAGTTTCATTATGGTTACAGACAGGAGCATGGGCATCTTGCTAGCGGATACACCACTGAAGAAATGTCTCCCCCTCCCTCGGCATTAACAGCAAAAGCTCCTTATGGAGAGCCTGGTATCAGGAGCCTCTCCCCAGGGCTGGTGTCTTGAGCTGCACCCTGAGAGTTTGTGAGCAACCCCTGGCCCTGAGATCTCTGGCGCACAACCCAGGCGTGTGAGACTCTGCTGCCCTGGGTACCTCCCCCATTACTGTGCGTCCTCGGAGTTAGTTCCCATGTGGAATACAAGGCTTACTAAAGAATGTATATACCAATGTGCTAAATTGATTGCATGTATATTATTAAAACTCAGTGGAATTTAAAGCCACCAAAAGGGAGTTCTAGATCCACGCAATCTGCAGGCTTTGTTTGGAACTGCCAAGTGGTGAGTAAAGAAAGCTTGTCCCGGTCTTGCTCTTGCTTTGGTCGTCTCCAGGTCACACGTTTGCCCATCTGCCCATACCCAGACTGCCCTTAGGATATCACCAGCACAGACCAATTATTCTCTGGCCACCCTATGACATCATTATCTCCATTTGACCTGCCAATCAATGTTACCTTCTCTCTTTCATTCAATATACTGTTATTTCTTAATTTAAAAATTGTATCATTATGGTATTTGTGTAACGTGCACTTTTGATGTCTCTCTCTCTCGTGTGTGTGTGTGTGTGTGTGTGTGTGTGTACACATGTGTCACAGTGAGTGTGTGGAGGTCAGAGGACACCTTCATTCTCTCCCTCCACTTTTATTCACATGGATTCTAGTATCCCGCTTGGGTTACCACACCCTCACAGCAAGCCAGTGCTTTGACCTACTGAGCAATCTCATGGGTCCGCTTCACCTTCTCTAATGTGACTTCTACTCGGCAAATCCCAGCGAAAGTTTTTGTAGAGGTGGTGTCCTCCATGTCATTGAACCCAACACGCCCTTAACAGTCTGTCACCATCCAGTCCCGTTGACTACGTCTTCTTCCTTCTCAGGACCTTCTCTACTTTCCACTCCTTCTAAAGTTACACTGTGATACTAGAATGCTCCATTGTGACATTACAGTTCTCAACTGTGACATCACAATTCTCCAACGGACCATCACAGTTCTCTAGTGTGATATTACAATGTTCCCGGGTGACATTACAATGCTACATTATGACAACACAGTGCTGAATTGTGACATTGGAATGCTCAACTGTCACATCTTGATGTTTCCATTGTTATATTACAATGCAGCATTACATCTTCAAAACAGGAATTGTGACATCATAATGCCCAACTGTGATGTCACAGTGCCCTGTTGTGACATTCCAATGAAAATTCAAAACATGGATTTAAGGGAGACAGCATTAAAAAATGTTTAGAAATTGAACATATTCCTAGGTAACCCCATTGCCTAAACTGGTGGCAATGAACTAATCCTTAGTATCAAAATTGATGAGGTGAACAAATAAGTTCTGAGAAGAATTTATAACCTTAACATACCAATGCTGCTTGAGAAAAAATGGAATGCCAGTCCTGCATGCCCATGCATTTGGATCTGCAAGTCCCGTGTTGGTAGAGACAAGGGGACACGGAATATTCCAGAGAAACCCCGTCTAGGATTGTGAGACTTGGTGGAGAGCAGTGGAGTCTGGAGATGCAATCCAAGGTTCGGTGGATCACCCCTTTGGTCTGAGCATTGGTAGAGATGAGAACTCTCTAGCGGCCAGTAGCTTTGCTTCTCTGATCTTCAGCTTGAACCCCAATATCTGTTTGCTCCACTGTCTGTTTTCTGCCATCAGAAACCTAGACAAGGGCAGTAGCAGTAACCATGCCACAGCCTGGATGCTACTTGCTAATTTCCTTTCAGAAACAAATTAGTACCACCTGCATTCATGGTAGATCTTTCCTCCACAGTTAAAAACATAAACACCCTCACACACACAGAGAAGCATGTCTTCTAGGTGATTCCAAATCAATGCAAAGCTGACATGGAGCTTCAAACACCAGGGACTTGAGCATTTGAGGAGTTGGAATCCATGGGGCAGGGATGCAGTCAGTCTCCATGGATACCAACAGATGACTGAACTTAGAAAGCAAGAAAGTAACATTAAATCAAAACAAGGCAGATATAGAAAAATAAAATATTAAAGATGGATGAGGGATTTGTAATGATAAAACATAGAAGGCTTTAAAATAATTAAAGGGAATCCACACAACTGTCTGATAACAAAAAGGCTTAAGGGAACTAAATCATGTTTTTAAAAATTTAAATGTCACCAAAGCTGACCTGTGGGGGAAAATCTGTAATACCCCAGTGGGCAGACAGTGGAATAGTGATTAAAGGAACTAAGGCAAAGCACACATTCTCATCTAGCCTTCAAAAAGCAGAATAGGAAGCCCTGCTGTAATTTAAGTAGTACAAGCCAGAAGACTGTGGAAAGCTCTCTGATCCATGAAAGAAAACCATAGATATTTTCTACTTTAAAGATAAAGACTCAACAGTAAGGAAAGGAATGGGACATGTCAGAAGAATAACAAGTTAACACTGTAGAAATGGAATTAAGGACAGTCTATATCAGGAAATCTAGTCACATAATGTTTTAAGTTTAAAAAAAAAAAAGAGAGGGGAATGCTAGGGCATTGGTATGGCACACCTTTAATCCTAGCACTTGGGAGGCAGAGGCAGGTAGATAGATCTCTGAGTTCAAGGCTAGCCTGGTCTACAGTAAGTGCCAGGTCAGGCTCCAAAGCAATACAGAGAAACCCTGTCTCGAAAAGCAAACAAGCAAACAAAAAAATGAGCGGGGAGCTGGCAAGATGGCCCAGAAGACAAAGGCACTTGCAGCCAAGCCTGGTGACCCGAGTTCAACCCCCAAGTCTTACATGGTGGAAGGAGATAACCTGCACTAGAAAAAATGTTCTACATCCCAGCCCTGTTCCTCATGGTAAACAAGCCTGTCCTGCACACTGTCTACTGCCCAGTGGGGTGATTGCACATCTTTCTACATCTCCATCACCTCCTGCCCTGTCATAATCAGCTCATTTTCCTAGAACACGAAAGTTGACCCAGGGGGTCAACTCACCCTCCCCCTATTTATTTATTTTTATTTGCTATGTTGCTGGTTTAGAATTGTCCGGGCTCCAGGAACCCTCAGGCCTTAGCCTGAGCAATTGGGATACAGGTGTGAGCCATTGTTTCTCAACACTCTTTCCTCTTGAGGTACCAGGTACTGGCCACCTTCTAACTATGGCTAAGTTCCCTAGAGGTGTTACCAGTTTCTCTCCTTCCACTTACCCCCCCTCAACTTCTCCCTCTCAGATAGCTTTCAGCCTCAGCACCCCACCAAAAGTGCTGAGCAATGTCTACATCCATCCTGACTGCATCCTGAGTGTGGGTCTCCTGGTTTATCTGATGCATTTGCTAACACAAGTATGAACCCTGCGTGGATCCACACCCTGTGTCTGAATGGACCTACTCTGCCTCTTCTTCACTTGCCTGGACTCTAAATGATGACCTCTACCCTACAAGCTCAGCCCAACAGCCCTGGGGTGGTGGGTAGTGAGCAATATCCATCACACAGCCACTGGAGGGCAGAGCCACTTCCAGATGCTCACTCTGGGCATGGGAATCTACCAGAGGCTGCACCTGACTGCAGTACTGTTTGATGTCTGTCCCTAGTGATGATTCTAGAATTCTACGGAAGAGGAGGAGGAAAAAGAAGAAGAAAACAGGCAGGCATGGGAAGACAACAACACATTTTATTTCACAGGAGAACAGTGCCAACTCTGGGGTATGCAGGTTGGTTGCACAGTCTGTGTTTACATAGTGAAGGACCAGGTATTTTATTCCCCGTCCACTGAGCAGCTATGATGCTTTTCATTTATTTATTTTGAGGCACAAATGACACTTGAACACAAAGTGGCCCTGGACCCTTTTGAACACTGAGGTGGGAGGAGCATCCAATACCTCTCTGGCCCCTCCATGTAGGCCTGGCGTGGGGATGCTCTCAAGCTGGCTTTCTGATGGGAACTGGGGTGGCTTCTGGCATGTTTATCCAGCTTCCCTTGTCTACTATCTTCTCCCTGAAGAACTATATTTGAGGCAGTGTGAAATTGTCCCAGCAAAGTTTCTGGCGCCATGGGCTAAGTACCAGCTTAGGAGGAAACAGGAACTGTGGCAAGGCCTGTCTCTTCCAAAGCCTTGGACTCTGTCCTGACAAGCCAGGAAGCAATGGTACAAACCCTGGAAATTTCCCCAGGCCTGGCATCAGGGATGATGGGCTAGGAGAGCTGAGAACTCAAAGTAGGTGTCCCTTCACCCAGCAGCCCTGCCCCATCTGGTCTCCGAACCCCATCTGCTCCTTCTAAGGCTAAATATCAGAGAGAGAGAGAGAGAGAGAGAGAGAGAGAGAGAGAGAGAGAGAGAGAGAGAGAGAGAGAGAGAGAGAGAGGTGTGCTATCGCAGAAGACGGGCCACTGTTTAGAGCTGATAAATTAGAAAGGAACCAGGGGGAGGGTGTGAGGGTGTCTGATTCTCCTTGGGTCCTCCTGAAGCACCAGCTGCAGACTGAGAAACCCAGTTTAAGGGGTCCAGGGAGGACTTCCCCTAGCAACAGAAGTGACTGACCCAGCAAGCTGCAGGTGACACACAGTCACAATGATCCTGAAGCCTCCTCTGTAAGAGACCAAGATCTCAGGCAGTGAGTTACTGATAACAAGACCACAGGCTGGACTTGTGTGGGTGTGGGTGTCCAGGCTGGTGAGGAAGTCTGTCAGGAGATAGCCCAACCCCCCTCGGCACTGGTCTCCATCAAGGCCACTGATACCATCCTGCCCTCCCCAGGGTGCAATGAGTCGCCAGCCACAGACCCAACCCACAAAAGTCAAGTCCAGTTCAGGGAAGATGGCAAATTTGGAGTTCAAGAAGACAAATCTTTGAAAACACTATATAGCTAAAGCGCTCCTTCGGGACTGCCCTTACCTACTGATGCTGATGTGCCATGGCGGACACACACGTGTATTCTAGCACACACGTGTGTGCACAGACCGGCCTTGTTTATGTCCTGGAAGGATGAGAGATAAACACCAAAATCTCCCCCACACCCACTGGGTCACCCTGGATCTCAGCTACATGTGCAACAAGACTGGAGAAACTGGCTAGCTTTATTCAAAAGCAAACAAGCAAAACAAAACAAAACAACAAAAACTCCCACCAAAACTGTAAGGTTGCAGTCTAGTGAGAGGCAAGGCCCACCCTCCTCCTATCTAGTGTGGGCCACCCTTATCTGACTCCTATTTGCTTACTCTTTCTAGAAAAGGAAAACAGGAAAAGCAAGACCCAGAAAGGCCCTGGCTCCCATAGCAGGCTTCAGGACCTGGTGCCAAGCTCCCATGTATACCCTTCAGGCCTCACAGTTCACACCCTTTTCTGGAACTCTCTCTCCCGCCTCATCCTCTTCCCAAGAGGCCATGGTGTTGTGCCATCAGCATGTGGTTTTATTGAAAAGAACACAGTGGGAAGTGGATTTTTTCACTGATGACAAGGAGCCCACCAATGCTTCAAACTTCTGTAATCACAAACTGCACGAGGGGAACCTAATGGCTGCTGTGTGTGGGCACAAACTCAGCAACTCCTAGTTGGGTGGAGTGGCAAGAGAAAGCCAAGAGATACAAATCAGAGAATTGCCTGAGAACTGAAACCCCTGTAACACAGGTGAGAACCAAGATGGGCGCCGCGCCGGCCTCTAGTCCTTTCCGCGGTGGCTCTGCTTCTGCCCCCATCTAGGTGACTGAGGCTCAGCCTTGAACACTGACTGTATTTGCAACTCACACAATGCACCCTTCAACATCCAAAAACATCCGTCCACGCAGACTCCCCTGCAGGAGTCGTGTGGAGTTAGTGTGACAGAAGATCCAGTCCAACTTTACATTACTATACAGGTAACAAATCTTCACACACAGCCTGCTTGGCAGCTTCTATGTATTTACAAACACACAGTTGTACATATATACATGTTAACAAAATACAGGGCATTCTAAAAATTAGATCCATCTTAATACACTTTTTAACGTTATTCAATCAATACTTTAAAAATTATTTCCCCATAATCTAAAGTAACTCCCTGCCCCATAAACTAATATGGTTTCTGTTTACATTTTTCCCTGTGAGAATTTCTTTTCCCTTGTTCCTTGATATCTCCCCCTAAACCCTCTTCTGGCTCCCCTTAACATGAGTTGGGCGTCCATCCTCCTGGCTGGGCGTCTGTCTGGAGCATCCCCTCTCCAGCAGCCGGGTATCCTCAGGAGTCCAGCTCCAACTGCTCTTGATTCTCGCAGAGTCTTAACATGAGCTGCTGCTCATAGTAGAGGCTCTTTGCATAGTTAATTTCTTGTGACAACTTGACAGCAAGGACCTCTGATTTCACGTGCACCTAGGGAAGAGACAAGGATGAGCACACTGCCTTGAGGTGGCGCAGCGGAGCACAACCAGAGGGTACGGGCAGAGTGCAGCCACTCAAGAAGAGTAGTTCCCATGTGAGACAGATTCCCAGGAGCCCAGGCCTGGTTCTCTCTGGTCCAAGCTTTTAGTTTATGCCCCAGGTTACTATAGGCAGACTATCACCACCAGCATCTGTGACTGTAACCGATGAGATTCCATTTAGAGGTAAGATGGGGACAACAGATTAACCCCCTTATTCGAGTCCAAAGCCTGGCGGTGGCCGGCACAGGAAGAAGAATCGGCAAGACCGTCCCGAAGCCTTTCTTATCCAGAAAGCTTTGCTGCTACCCTGCCTTGAAAGGGGGAAGACAGGGTTGGGAGGCACACATGGTGGAAAATACACATTTTGGGACATTAACTTTCAATCAACCAGCTCTAATTTAAGCCAGTGATCCCAAGGGGCCTGACAAGTTCAAACCAGTCCAGTTCATTCCTGAGAGACTGGTGAAGGTTGAAGAGCTCCCAGGGAGAAACCCAGCAGGACGGCTTTGGAGATGGAGATAGAGATGGAGCAGGACCAATGCCTGGTATTGCAGCTGCTTCCCCAACCTGCTCTGCTGTGGACTCGCTGGCCCAGCTTAGCAGAGTAAGGCATTCTTCGGTCTAGACCAGCATGGGGATCAGGTGGGTTACCTGGGTGTGAGCCCCAGCTTTGTGCCCTAAAGAACCCACCTGCCCTGACTCCTTCTCTAACAACACAGATGAGGAGGAAGCGCAGGAAGTGCACACTGGAAGGCAATGGAGCATCTCCACCCAAAGGCTCTGACACACACCTCCCACCCTTGGAGATAAAATACCACTTTTAGTACAAACAGCTATTGGATGTGCTTCACTACACTGCCCTGCACAGAGCAAGAGGTTGTGCTTTCCTGACACCAGAGAAGTAGTGGTGTGTGCTCTGTCTCTGTCCTGGACCCAAGGAATCCGTCAGCACTTGGTACCACGCTTCAGGGACACAAAACTGTGAAATACGGTTGGTTATCAGCTCGTGTCGATGGGTGAAGAGGCACAAAAGCAAGAGAACACACTGGGAACTTCCAGCAGAGCGGGAGCAGGGCAAGCCTCCCACTGCAGGCCTCAAGGTGATGCGGGAGGCAGAGCAGGGCTCGTCCACATGAGGGGCAAGGAGCAGGCGCACTCACCATTGGCTTCTGGTGGGACGGGCCTGGGATGGACACGCCGCTGCTGGAGTTCGCAGCTTTCTTGGTCACCTGCACATATACCTTCCCATGGTCTTTGGAGACAAGGCAGTGGTAGAGGTCATCATATTTGACCTCGAGGAAAATGGCCTCTCGGTCTATGTAGTCCCCGCTCTTCAGGAAGTACACGGCCTTGGATGAGATGAGCACGCAGTAGCTATCCATGTCCTCCACGGCGATGAAGCTGCGTGGGGAGAGAGAACGGGGGAGGTGAGCTGCTCCGTGTTAGGGTCAGGCTGTCCCTCGATGCTCAAAGGGGCAAAGGCCTGCTGAGGTCTCAGGGGTTTGCAGCCTAGGGTTGCCCAGGCTTTCCAGTGACCACGCCTGTGCATGTGCGTGCCTTCATTACTCTTGGGCCTGAGTTTGTATTAGGAAGGACTTGGCCTCAGGAGCTGCTGGGAGGCCCGTATGCATGGCACACTCACTCCCAGCTGTAGGATGCTCATGAACAAAGGATGTCAGCCAAGAGTTTCAAACCCAGAAACAAAGGCATGCTCTAAAATGGGCTTTCGTGGGGTGCTCAGTGAGCTGTGGGTAGCTTAGGAGTTAGAGGAAACGGAATCTGTGTTGTGCTGACAGGACACGTAGCCTTGGTTCAGGGTCACAGGCACCAAATTCTCAGAGAGGGCAGTTATTGAGGGAGGAGAAGGCCTGCTTGCTGGCCATCAGGGGCTTTCCCAACAGACCCAAGTGTGGCTGGCCCTCACTCTCCTCTGTGCGGGAGGAGATCTGTAGCTCACATTCATTCTCTCATTCCCCCAGCCTGAGACAGCATCCTTACTCTCCAAGCTTCCACAAATGCCCTAGCCCTTGACTGCTGACATTTCAGCACCTTGGCCTGCCAAAGAACTTCCAGAGGATTCGTTCTGCTTCCGGGCTAAGCATCCTGGCTCTCAGCGGTGCTCTAAGTCTGGGTGTGGTCCACTGTATACCCACATGACTTCCCCAGTACCCACCACCAAGTCAGTCACCCGTGAGGGCTTGCTAAGTATCCACCTTGTTCTAATCGTCGTTTTAATTATGGCGTTGCTGTTCTCATTTAACTGGGTGGCAATGCCGAGAATGTAGACTTGTAAAGACTCACTGCCAAAATTAGAAGCGCCCAGCGGCCCTCGGTACTCAGGCAGCTTTGCTCAGCCTCCTCACATCCCACACTCTTGAGAGTCAGGGGCCGATTCACGGAACGAGGAGAAGGGAGCAGGGGGGGACAAAGAGAGACAGAAAGGAGAGGGGACAGCACAGGGCCAGCTGGAACTGGATGGAAAATGAAGTAAACACACAGAAATGACCTTGTACTGGAGCACAGGAGGGCCAGGAGCTCAGCATGAAGGCTGTCCCACCCAGACTCTGAGGAGACTCTAAAGGTGGCCAGGAGGCAAGGTGCAGGCCAGCACACACACTACAACACCCAGCTGAGACCGGCTCTCTAGCCTCCCATTAATGCTCCATCCTTCACCAAGGCCCTTCAGAGAACTCAGTGACACCCAGAGATACATTTACACCCAAGGACACAGGGGCTGGTCCTGAGCACACTACCAGACTCCCTTCTAGAAGGAGGCTGCCATGGCTCGGGTCCTTGCAGGCTAGGACACCTCAAGAGAAACGGTGGCTCCGGAAAGGCAGGCTGGCCACATGGCAAAGGGAAGCAGGACTAGGTAGTTCAGTTAGCTGTCCTAACTCATGTCTGCACTCTGGGCGCAGGAGCCCTGCTCATGCCCTGGGGCTGCTGCTCCTGGGTAGTGTTCCCCGTTCTAAGGCCTTCAAAGGCGGGGCCAGAGCCAAGGGCAGGGCTGGGAGAAAGAGCTGGGCAATAGCCCAGGGCCTGGGCAGCCAAAGGCTGTCTTCCCATCTTTGCTGAGCTTCCCCTGCAAACCATTACTGAAGGTTTGGGGTCTCACCAACACCACTGCTATCATTCTAGTTGATCCCCTACCCACACACCCCCCCCAAATCTGGAAACCACATCAAAGATTAATTCAAATGTCTCACGAGCAGACCCTTCACCCGCTGACCCTGATCCCAAACTTGTCACTCACTTGGGGGCAAAGCAGAGGTTTCTTGGTCTTTCCCTCTCCTGACCTAGTCCTTCCTGCCCCCTTTCCTCTGTGCCTGCACACCTTCAGGCCAGCTCTCTACAGGCTCGCCACCCCCACCCTCAGCCCACAGAGCAGGAGGCCATGGCTGGACACCACACCCTGACAGCTGTACTTGGACTTCCCACTCTCCACCTACAGCCCTCCCTCACTGCTGCTGGCCCACGGACGGGCTGATGGAGAGTCTCACAGGTAACACAGGAGGGACACCCATCTGTCCCATGATCTGTTGTTGACTCAAAGGGCAGAGAGGCCCTCCCTCTCCGTAAAACTAACCACTAGTGGCCTCATGGCACACAGCTCGGACACACAGCTCGGCACACAGGGTCTTTTAGGACAGAGACCCTGGGTGCCAGGCAGTGGGTAGCAAGTGAAACAGTAGCGAAAGCCTCTCATTTTATCCCCTTTGTTATGTATCCCCCTCCTCCCAAGCAGGTCTGCCTGACTCGCTAGGCTGTCAACTTGCTGAGGAACACCATCAACTCCATACTTGGCCTGGCACACAGGGAGACTTACTGGATCGGGCAAGCACTCAGAAGATGGCAGTGAGGGGACACTACAAGGTCTGGAGGAATTTAACTGCACACATCCGCGACACTGGGGGTGGCCTGCCAGGGGCTGTGGTTCCCTCAGAACTTGTATCGGAGCAGCTGGGTAACCTGTCACAGGTCCTCAGGTGTCAAACATTCCTGATGGATTAGTTCCTGGCTTAGAAAGTGCAAACTGGATTACGGCTGTGTGTGGCTGAGAGACATAGGACCCACCTGGCCAGGCTGGGCTGCATTCCCAGCAAAGAAAAGGGGGGGGGGGAGGGAGGAGAAAGGGGGAAGGGGGAGAAGGGGATTTTCACTATTGTTTTTTGCTAGCCACGGAAATGAATTGGCTTCATTAGAAGGGAAAGGTGGCATTTTAGCATGCTATTTTGGGCAGGATTCTCTTCTTCAAAAGCCCCCACCCCACCCAATGCCTCTAGGAGACAAAGCCCTTAAAGAGAAAATACTGAGGCTTACAAGCCTGTCTTGCTTCCTTTTTATAAACTTTTCCGTATTTAAGACAAAAATATCTCCTAAACATTACTTTCTGTCTAAATGATGAAAGAACCCGAGGACTGTGCTGTGGCAGCTCCCAGGCGTCTGTGGAAAGAGAGGTAAGGTCACCCTTGGGCTTGCAATCTGAATGGGCAGCCTCAACGAAACACTAGGAGTAGGAATTTCACAAAAAAACAAACGAACGGAAACACAACCAACACATGACTGCTGGCCGTAAACTAGGCATTGCTCGGGGAAGCTAATCACACAGAACAAGTGGCATTTTACCACCATCTGCAGCCAGGTTCTGGATTAAGGCTGAGAAGGAACGGAGGCACCGGTGATGAATCTGCTATGAACCCTGCCAGACCTCAAATCGGATGTCAGTGACAATCTGTCCAATCCTGTTTAATTAGATGGAAAAAAACCCACAAAACTAAATACAACTTGATGTGGGGAGGGTCAAAGTTGAAGCTGCTGTGGGGCTGGGGACTTTGTGGGGTTTTCACTCCATCAGGAAGTAATTACACAACATTTTCCAGAAGTAAAACAGTGAGTCTAACTGGAAAAAAATGTGGAAACATTTAGTTAGAACAGTAGAGCAAGGTATTAAAGACCCTTTTAACGGGTTAACTCTGAGGGAATATGCAAATAATGAGGTCCTTAAATGTGTTTTAAATTACAAATCTAGGATAAAAGTCAGAGGCAGAAGTCAGCACCCGAGCTTCTCCTGAGCAACCCCCTTCCTGCAGACAGACGTCTGGACCACTCACATTGCCCTGGGGACAGGTTGGTAAGTGAAGACACTCCGAGTCATGTCTGCCACAGACCCTGCTGACCTCTCCTGTATGCCCAGGAAGACTGAGGTCACATGCCTCCCACACCACCCACTGGCCAGGTTCCACCTCAGTTTGGGTGGAGACACAGGATTTTCATCTTCACAGTCAAAATTCATTCAGCCAGTAACTGTGCCCAGATCACATGAACTTCAAGCTTTTTGAGAAATGGATTTCACTGATTTCATCCTGACTCCAGATCTCAGCTCCCTGGCCTTTTCCCAGTGTGTGCACTACGTGGCCAGCAGTCCCATGGTGACTGGACTACACAATTTCCCCCTTGTGTTTTCTAGTCTTATGCCATTCTATTACAAATGAATCTTGTTGCAATGAACCAGGCATGGTTTAGATGGACTAGAGGTGGGTTAGCAAAGACTTTAAAATGTAACACACAAGGATCTATAATTTTACTCAACCTACCCTCCTTGTTGAGATGGGGATGCCTATAGCCCAGGCTGACCATGAAAAGTGGCTGAAGATGGCTTTGGATTTGTGATCCTCCTGCCTCCACCTCCTAAGTACAAATGCCATGACTTTTGGTTTATGCAGTGCTGGGGACGGAACCTGAGACTCTGTGCATGCTGGCAAGGAATCTATCAACTTAGCTACATCCCTCAACCCATCCCTAAATCCCCAATGATTGCACAGTGGGACATGTGTTAATACAAATGTCTTACTGCAGTTCTCCAAGCTGAATTTATTGAGCAATTTGAATCCCAGGCACTGCTTTGGGTTCGGAGGATTCTCCAGTGAGTGGAACACCCTAGCCATCACTGGCTGCCATTCTAGTAGTCTATTCTATGCCCTGCTTGGCTGAGAAATGATTCTCTTGGCCTTTGAGTTGGAGACTCAAAGTCCCACTAATACTGTGGTATTTAGGATGGTCTCAGCCTTCTCAGCCTTCAGAAATGGAGATATAAGTTTCTGTTTTTGAAGCCACTCAGCCCACAGAATGTTGTTAGGTAGCAGAGCAGTGTCAGGGGAGGAAATACACAGTATTGTCTAGAGATGCTCCTATGACATATGGCAGACCACATCTAAGAAGACACCATATCTCATTTCCTAAATCCTGGACTTCACTTTCTATGTCCCCATTCAAACAAGATGTGAAATGTGAGTTGAGGCTTCTCTGGTACTGTCTTGACCAATGACACTGAAGAGTTCAGGGAGAGAGCCAATCTCTCCCTGAAGTCTTCCAACAGCCAGCCACACACAGTATTCAGATTCTCTCTAACTCACCTCACCTTAGAAGACACAAGATACACTAGCATGTTGCTGTGCCCCAAATGCAGTCCCTTCACATCTGGTCAAGTGACAGAACACCTTACATTCTGAGGATTTCCACAGAATGTCACCAAAGAAGGCCATGGCTGCCACATCAGCTAAGAATAATCTCAGTGGCTAAATATGTGACAAGGTCCTGCCTGGGTTACTGCAAGAGTGACAAAACAATCAAGATAACTGTATTTCCAGAACATTTGATGAGTAATTGTTTGCTTCTTGCTTGTGGTTCATTTTGCTAGCATCCTATAGCAAACACTGGATGGCAAAGTTTAAGTTCATTGTTTATGAGAAAGGCATCTCTAACACCCCACACACTGGGCTCTCTTTGAGCTGTGCAGATGGCACAGCGAGGTCCACTCTGGAATAGACTGAGAGATACTCCCTCCAGTAAAGAAAGTTTAGAAGAAATCATATTGACACCCATTGGACTTTTAGGACAAGCAATCCTTCAGCCTCTTCCAAGGGCTGCATCAGCCTGAAGCTGTGGGTCACAGGGAAGTGTCTCGAACTCAAAGACAGACAAGGTCCTCCAGTCCCTACTTACAACTCATCTTGGATGTTGTCTGTCAGCTTGAAGAGCTGCTCCTGTCCTTCTGCCTGGCTCTCAGAATATCGAGGAAGCAGCCCCTGGGGGCCAGTGCAGCAACGCGGTTTCCGAACCCTCTGGGCTTGGGTCCTAAAGGGGCAAATGGACAGGAAGAGGTTAAGCGTCAAGGTTAAAAGGATTTTCCATCCTCACTTGGAAAAGCACTGCTTATAGACAGGAGCAAGCTGCAGCAGGGCTGTGTGGTCTACAGCACACCCACTGGGAATTCAGACGAGGCCTCACGATCCTTTGGCTACAGAATTATTGGCTCAATCAGATGACCTCCTTGGCCTCCATCTCACTTTCTTTGTAATGGACTGGCACAACCTACCTCTTGGCAGGAAGATCAGATGAAAAAGTACCCATTGGGCTTGTGCTGGAGAGTATAGGCTGCCCATCAGTGAGGCTCTTTAAGGTCATTATAACTAGCCTCCTGGGGGACCACACCAGTTTATCACGTTTTGCTAGGGATCTCTTTGGGTCAGCCCATCAGGAGGAACACCGAGGGGCCTGGGCTTCAGGTGAACCTGCTATGCTGCCAGACTCCTGAGGGGTGAGCTCAGTCTCTTGGGTAAAGGGTAAGGAATGCAATGGCCATGTGAGGGGACCAGTCGCAGGCCACAGCAGCAGCCCTAACTCATGCAGCTTGGCTGTTGGTTGCCCAGAGGAATCTGCTTTGCTATGGCATTCAGGGGTGGCTGCTGTTGTCTTTTTCCACAAGCCATAGACAGGGTAATTGATAAATACTTTTTGGTGTTTTCCTAGAAACAGGAGTCCATATTTGTCTTGGAAAGGCGGTGCATACCTCAGATGACTGATAAGTGTGTGCTGGTCTGTCCTCGGCCTTGTACTTGCTGTACTTTTTATTATTTGTTCCTGGAACCCACTGAAGCAAAACATCCCTCTCTAGACATACCTCAACGAGAGGAGCAGGCGGCCACCCTGAATCAGCACTTCAGAACCACGCACTGCTGGCAGTGGACATGGACTGGCTGACTGACTGGGGAGCAGTGTCCTGCAGGGCAAGTTGGGGCAGGACCCTGGAAGGAAGCAGCAGTCTGGAACTCGCCACAGGCTATAATATGTAGAGCTAAAAATCATTGCAAGTGTTTCTGAGCCCAGGTCAGGCTGAGTTCACCAGGCTCTGGTTCCAGAAGGTGATATGGGGTTTGTAGGGGTTGGGGGGGGGGGTAGGATTGACAGCTGTTAGCAAGCCAGGTCTCTCACTCCAGACAAATCTCAAATGTTTCTTAAATATTTAGTTCTGAGGGCACCTCGCGTCCTTTTAGCTGTGTTTTTCAGGAATGGTATGGAGACCTGGAGGAGGATACAGTGACTTTCACTGAAGGACTGGGTTAGCTTCATTTACAGCACACATTTACATACTCCCATTGTACTCATTCTCACCCCACCCCCACCCCTGCCCAGTTCTCCCAGAAAGCAGGGATGTGGTGGAGGGGTGAGCCCACTGAGAGAGGGACTTCACCACTGCTCATCCGTGGATGGTAGCAGATCGCCACATGCAAGGGGTCCCCAGCAAGGAGCTGGTGGACTTCTCCAGTGGCCTATTCTAGTCTCCTGGCCTGGCAAAATAATCACTGTCATCTCACTGTCTAGACCAATAACACATCTTCCCCCAAAGCATTCCCATGGTTCTCTTCCCTGAGAGGCTCATGAAAGGGCCACTGGCTGCCAAGCAGAAGACCGAAGATCCTTCCGAGAGGCAGATGGTAACGTCACTTTCCTACCCCCTTTCAATTAAGGCTTGATTTTCTTGTCACATTGCCTCCCAACTTACAGAGACACCTGTGGGCTTAGCTATATAACATACACTTCTCAGTAACTATTCCCACCTCTCTACAGCTCCTAACAAGGGGCCTTTGTCTGTATCTGCTTTGAGACAGGGTCTCATGCTGGACTTGAACTTACAATATAGCTCTGGCTGGCCTTGAACTGGCTGTCCTGCCTTAGCCTCCTGAATGCCAATTCCCAGCTACCTCAGTGAGAATGGCCCTTCTAGAAACATAACTCGGAGTAAGCCAGTCACTGGGACACGTGTGTATTTATTGCCCCCACACGGACAGCACACACCACAGGAAAAGGCCGTTGTTCGTCTCGGCAGCACCTGGCTGCCTACAGTGACACAACAGTATCTCTAGCATTTGGTGGGTGGGGAGCAGCTTGAGGATTTCACTGAGCTGCAAAGCAAAGGTGAGGTTCTGAGATGCAAAAGGCACAAGGTGAACTAGTAGAACCTCATCTTCATCAGAGAAAGGTCCAGGGTGCCGCCTCTGTCTAGTTCACCAGGGACAGCAAAGGGTAGATGTGAAAGTGGAAACTTTGTGGACATGTGTTCTATTTCTTACAGGAGACCAGCTTTTCCTTAGTGCTTAACACTAGGGTGAAGGGGAAACCGACTGCAGGGGCTTAAGGAAGTCTGGCAAGCCAATGGGAGGTGGCAGGCTCCTGCTCCTGAGTTCCTGGAAGTCACATATCATATCAACTGGGGCCCAACTCAGAATGGAAGAAAATATACCCTAACCCTAACCCAAAGAGCTTAAGTGCACATAGTAATTCCTTGACTCAGTGGCCTCCACTAGAGCCCTTCCCCAAACTTTATCTCTACTCCCCATGAATTATCCTCTAGCCTGCAAACTACAAACCCACAGAAACATCCAGAATGAGCAGGGAGAGCAGCTCCCCTGTGGATCTGCCCTTACCACGTGTTATACTCATCTCCTCTGTCTTCCCCGCAGATAGCAAACTACCCCCAAGTTTTATAGTCACCTCTTAGTGGTCTAGCAAACACCAATGGCCACACTGTACTCTGTGCCATAGCTAGAGAAGCACACTTCAATGGTTGAGGCCCATTTTCTGTCACATGATATACAAGGAACCCCACCCCCCACACCACCATAGCCCTACCCCAAAGAGAGGACCCTGTTCTGTAAATGAGGGCTTCACTCACAGAGGGCTGATTTGTGACAATGTTCTGTCAGTGACTAAAGCTAGTTCTTCTCTAAAACACACCTAAAATTTCAAGTTCTCATGTTCAAGTTGGTCGGTCGTGAGCAGGTGTTGATAGACAGTGTTTAAGATCATCGTGAGAACAAATCCGGACCCAAACTTACTTAAGAGTTAAAATAAAAGACAAAAACAAAAACAAAAAAACAGCCATAAGGAAATATTTCCAAACCCAGGAGTTGGCAGAAAGGTTGTGAAGTGACCTTCGCCAGGGAAGAGGAACCACTGTGTGGCAGAACTGTTACCACCGTGACACATATCATGGTGACACACATGTAATCACAGTGTTTGGGAAGCAGAGATGAAGATGGCTACAAGATTGAAGCCGGCCAGGCCTATTTAGAGAGACTTTGTCTCAAAACACACACACACACACACACAAAAAAAAAACAAAACAAAAACCCAAACACTAAAACCAAAACTACCCAAACATGAGCAATAAAAAAATAAAATACTGTACAAAATATATATCAGTAGTCAGACTTATTATTGCACAAGGTCCTAAAAATACATATACATAATCATATGCATGTATATACATATATGCAACACACATACACCGTGAACTCACATCACTCTCACAAACAAGTGATCCACAGACAACAGTAATCCTGCGTTTTCCTTGCTATGAGACTGACTGTGAAGTCACCATCCTGTGTCCCGGGGGGGGGGGGGGTAGGGGGGCGGCAGCACCAGGACAATGACAACTGGATGGCTTCCTCCTGCTCAGTTCAGGGCCTGCCTTTCTCTTTATTTGAACAAACACAACACAGAGCCCCACTGCTGGCTCAGCCTGGATGTCTTCTGCATGCAGACGCCATCCCTTCTCTTCCCGGCACAGCCCCAGGTCTGAATCTCATGCCTCATGTCTCATGCCCATGAGCTTCTCTCTCAGCCAGTCCTCCCTGCCTCAGAGCATGTTCTGGCACACTAGTGCTGCCTGTAGTTCCTGATCATGGTGGACCTATTGAGAGGACTCAGCCCTTTCCATGGGCAGCCAGGATCCACTTCTGGTGTGAATGTCTATGACATATCTGAGACTGGCTAAGGTTTTGCTATTGTAAGTGATATGGCTATGAACATGCTTGTGCATGTCTCCTGGTGACCTCTGGCTTTGGGTACACACAAACGCACACATGCATGCACACTTTCTGCCAGATTTCAGGATATAAACATTTGGCTAAGAGGAGAATTTGAGCTACTTTTAAAGGTGCAAAACCATCTGATCCTCCTGCCATGATGTGGTTATGACACACTGGCTAGCTACACCTCTTCCAGTGCTTGGTACTCTGTAGGCCAGCACTGCCTGGCATGCTGTCACTGGCCACAGGGGTTGCCAAGCAAGTGAGGTGTGGCCAGTGTAACAAAGAAACCTAAATTTGAAATTGACTTTCACATGAGAACCTGTCTCAAAACCAACCAACAAACAAAGGAAAGTCAGGAGTGTGGCATAATCTCAGCACTCAGAAAACAAGAGCAGGAGGATCAGTAGTTCAAGGCAAGCCTCAGTTAACAAATTAAAGACCAGTCTGGACTACATGAGTTCCTGTCATAAAGGACCAAAACAAAACAAAGTCAAATTTATTTATACTTACGTTGTATCTTGGAGAATACTGACCTAGACTCTATTTAAATTTTATGTATGTATGTATTTATTTATTTATTTGATTATCTATTTATTGGGGGGGGTGTATGCCATAGTGGATGTGAAGAGGTCAGAGGGTTCTAGAAATCAAGCTCAGGCATCAGGCTTGGGCAGCAAATGTCTTACCTGCTGAGTCACCTTGCCAGCCTGGTGTAGATTTTTTAGCCCGCCGCTTGAGTGGGTATAAAATGGCCTCAGCATTTTTTCACTCCGTCTCCTTTCCAATGAAAGAATGGTGTCCTGTGATGGCTTGGCTGTCAGCTTGACTACATCTGGGAATCAACTAAAACCCAAGCTGCTGGGTACTCCCGGGGGTGGGGGTGGGGGTGGGGTGGGGGGTGGGATTCTCTTCACCTGATTATTTGAACAAGGAAGACACACCCTCAGCCTGGGCCACATCTAATGGTGGCAGCCCACATGA